CGAGCTTGTAATCTCCAATTTTCCATTAGTAAATTCATCGTTGCCACTCTCCCCATAAATATAGATTTCATTTTCGAACCAAAACACGTAAGTCCTTGTGTCTTGTTTCTATTTGTTACTTACTTCTCCGTTTATCTCACCATTGTAATAGATTGAGCAACATGGTCAATGTGAAAAAGTAAGTTCTAGCCGAAAAGATTATGATAGCGATACACATGCAGTTTAGTATCAAGATACGATCTATAAGCATTTCCACCTGTGCAAAGTCAGTGTAATCAACACACCTTTGTCATCGGTTATGGCCACTGCTCTATTACACATTCTCAAAGTTTTAAAACGTGTCGTGATAGTTTGAGGTTTTTCGAGATTTATCTATCAATACAACAGTCGATTGGACTATGTATGATCAAGTCACATACGAAATTATGTACAAATGGGTGCACCATGTGTAGCGAATTAATCACCCAAATTGACCTATGTCCTTATCAATATCTCCTTTTGACTCAAGAAGTATTGGTGGGTTCGCTTTTGGTGGTGTCATTTGACGGATGCTAGGGAAAGCCATGTCGAATTGCACTACCCATTTTTTCCTTCGAACCCACTTGGGGACAATTGCTCCACGTGTGAATAGTCTGCTAAAATAAGCAACTGCTTGGATTGGCCATCTGGTATTGGTGGATGAAACGGAGAAGTGTTCAATCCGGAAACGTGGTTTTCTTGGTGCTCTCATGAAGTGTACCACAAAAGAATTTTTAGTCACGGGCCTTCCATTAGTCACAGGCATGAAATGTTGAATGTGCTTGCTTAATTATTTTGATCTTTCCCTCTCAAATGGGGTCAACCGACCATAATTTACTTTTGTTGGGGTTCTAGAATTTGCACAATTGAATTTTTCTCGTCACATGTCGCTTTTACAAGGAACTTTATCTATTCAAATGAAATGTTTACAGCTATTATAATCCCACAATCCTGGTGGCATGATTTTGAATACCATAACTTTTCAATCAATCACTTGAGTGGCATGATTTTTAAAAAACGTTCACTTGAATGTCATAACTTTTCAAAAGATTATTTGAGTGTCATTACTTTTAGAAAACTTTCACTACAAATGCCATGCCACGTCGGATTTTCGACACTTATGGTGGTTTTTTTTTTGTAGTTATGACATCGAAATGATCAATTGAAAAGTTACGGCATTCAAGTGAACTATGTATGAAAGTTATGGCACTTGTAGTGCCTTTTTCCTAGTCTTGAACTTATGGCTCGTCTTTTCTAGCTTCGTAGCCATGATGCCATTCAGTAATTGGACCCAACAAAATGTTAAAAGATACAGATGAGTCGATCCGGTTAGCATAGATAATTTGCATCGAAGTCCCAATTACTTACTTAAACCACGAAATGACCGGTTTTTCTCCTCGCCCTTTGTTTTTGTACCTACATAGCGAAAGGATAAATCAATCTTATTAGGATCCCAATCGACTAATTATTGGCCATATTAACGTCAATTTTGTGCAAGACTTGGAAGAAAAAGTTATCCAAATTCTACCACTGCACGCCCACAATGATAGTTTTCGAGACTACAACTGCTTGAGGAACCAAATTTTACATTCTCGTGATGCATCCAAAGAGGCCTCGTGATGTTTTGTCAAGTGCACTTTGCCTTCGTGTCATTGGTGAAGAATGAACAAAAAGGCGTTTGGGATGTCAACAGGGGTGTGCTGAGCAATCACATGTTTGCCTTTGGTGGGCTCTAAATAAGATGGCGAAAAGTGTCATCATCCTACTTTTGAAGAAGGTCACCAGAGGATTTAAGTGGTAGACTTGACTTCTAAAAGCGACAAAATTAACAAGGTGAAATAAAACAGATTAATAAGTGAACCCAACATTGCTAAAATATTTATAATTGTTATTAGAATTATGTCTCGAATTGAGTCCATTTAACAAAATCCAGCTTGGATTGAATTGTGTAGAAGTCCGATTACATGAAAGTGAAGTTTTTCGGCGTCCGATCTTGGAAAGCAAATGGCCAAAGTTTCTTACTTGAAGTAGGAATCAAATATTTGAGTCGGGCAAGGAATTCCACACCTACAATTTTCCTAAATTTATAAATAATGTGTGTATGGGATTGGTCTTTAACCCTTGATTTGCCATTGAAGTTGAGGTTGGACTTAAAGTTCTCACGAGCAGATGCCATTGGTGCAGCATCCACGGTCGGCTTACTCGTGAATTACATCCAAAGAAGAATCGGTGTTGTAGCAGTGAAACTTGTGGTAAAATTGTGTACTTTTTTTTTTGTGAGACTGACATATTGTTTCCCGAGAAATTGTGCAGGCTAAATATTGCGAGTTATTTAGTGTAATTGGGGGTCGAGAAACACTAAAAGTATTTGAGTGACTTTAGTGTGGTTATAATTTTTATATGGCAAGATCTATAGTTAAATCATATGTTGCTCTGCCTGTAAAGTAGATTACATCTACCGAATCACATAAATATGATATCCAATTTATTTTCTTATTTTGTTTTTGGTCCCTTGATTTTCGCAACAATTGTCATCTCATGTTATAGAGAGATATCTTTACTTGGACTTGTTCTTTAATAGTAAACCAATCACACAACAAAAAATGAAATATGAAAACTCGCATTGATTAAAAAAAGAAATGTTGAGAGATGCTCATGTGAGCATGCTAGGAACAAAGAATCAAATCAACAATTGAACATGGATAGAGCAGTTTGATAATATTAGTTGGCTCATGACTCAATGACTTAACTTTTGAGTGAGGTGGGGCTAACTGAAAATGTTATCAAATTTGAGGTTAAACTCCCTATGCTCTCTCCCTAGAGTGGGGCATCCTCAAAAACGAATATTAGCATGGATTTTTGATTGGTGCTTCCCATGTGTATCATTGTTTCGTAGATATCTCAAGGAAGGAATCGTAGCCATCACCATGGACGTTGGATGAAGATTGCCATCAATGTTTGACCTAACGGAAAAGACCATGGTTGAGGGTTGGTGTTGCTGTGTATTTTTTAGCGTCCTAGGTTTGATGTATCATCACGGGCTAGTTCAACTATGACTATAGTGGTGGCAATCGACAACGATGGATGATATGGCACAAAATAATGAGATTTCATGATCAGTATCAACTTTTACCACAAGTCAACAAAGAGAAGGGAATGTGCGAACACACGACCTGACAATTCAGGTGGATAACCTTCACACGATGTTGTTTGCCCTTTGTGGCTTACACTAAATCGAATGCCTGTCGTCTGCCTAAAACACAAAAGCCTTTTCCTCAACAATCTATCGCCCGATGGATTTGTTTTGTTATCACATTATTAGCGGATTCTAATTATCTTGTACCTTACACTTTTATCTCTCCAAAAGCCAATTCTCTCGTCATCGTCCATTTTGATTTCCACGTGAAAGAGGGTTAAAGTACATGAACAAACGTTACATGTTCCATGATTTTACCTATGTGGCTTTGAAATGTCATGAATTATGTCTAGAGTCATGATTCAAAGAGGAGCATCCTCTAAAGGGAGTTCCACTAGGGGTAGAGGAGGAAGTGTTGTCTCTACTATATAATGACTGGTCTTCTAGTAGTGAAAATGCAATATCCCATGCAGTTAGCTCGAGTGAAGGAACCATAACAAGGAGGCCAATGTTCCCGCACCACAATGTGGTGATACCCTTCTATCTTACCCTGGTAAACCATCCATCAGATAGCCTAGACCTCGAAGACTGCAAAGTAGATGCCAATAGTACTCTTTCCACGCTGCATACACTGCAACTCGAATATTCACTGGATTTGTAGCATTGAGCAGATCGGCTGCATTATGCCTCCTCCCTGAACCATAAAAGGTCGAGTCACCAGCAGCATAGGCAACAGGTACATGTCCACCAATTTATGCACTTCCACAAGCAAGAGCAGTTTTAGAGACAGAGGAGGGAGCATGAGCGGTTTCAAGCCCAGTTGTAACTCGTTCGGTTCTGCAACCCTACAACATAAAATGCTACGGACCCGAAACCGGGCCATGAGACCCGTAGAGCACCCTCTCAGCTGCAAAAGAAAGTGGTATAAAGAATGAACTCCCGAAGTGGATTAAAAACAGGAGTTATTACTGCGGTCAAAATTTCTGAGTTCTTGCCATCAAATCTACTAAAGAAAGTCTAGTGGTAAACGTGTGTTATGAGGATGTTTCCTCGTTATGTCCTTTGACCATGATTAAGCGGCAAAACTGTTCATGCGTCAACAGGGATACAGCGTATCATCGTGCACTTTTAAGAAGAAAACTACGCTTTTTTGTTTCTATCAATTGCTAGTGGAATTTTTCGACATTATTCATTTAAAAATGCATCGATTGCTTATGGAAATTTTTTTTTTCGTTTCTAAGATATTTAACTGCATTATTGATGACATTCCATTAAATAGAGGATGCTTCTGCAACCATAAATAACCGACTCATTAATCAATCTTTATTCTTTCACAAAAAAAATTAAGCGAAACAAATGCCAATTACCTAACGGTGGCACTGAATTTGGAAACAAAAAATAATGAGCACAAACAATGATTTTTCTAAAATATATAAATATTAAATCACCCATTCATTTAACAGATTAAACTATGAAAACGGCTTATAGTGGTCCTACAAAATTTGACATGATACTGAGCTAGGTTCTACCTGGTTTATGTTGCGTGTGCAACCCCTTGTTAATCAAATTCAACGTGCCGTTCTTAATTCCGTTTGGACGTGAGAGGGTTTATATACTTTTACATATATGTTGCATTCCTCCAGCTACAGGTTTAACCTTTTGAATTGGATTGTTAGGTGAATGTATGATTTAATATTTAAATATTCTGATAAATTTCTTAAAACATAATAAATACTCAATAAGTTGCTTTCTAGTTTTCGGTAGAACAATGATTTCTCAATATTCTCTGCCCTGTATGACAATTGACCATGCACGACAAATTCACGGCAGGACTTAGTTTCCTCCCTTTTATTCAACACACTTATTATTATACATCAAGGCGTACAGAAAACCCTAGCACAAGTCTCGTACAATTTCGTCGTCAGCTTTTACATATCGAACGTTCAATATTCCTGAAAGGATTAATCTCAACTACGTACACAGACACTTATTAGGACGTATATAAGTACGTCGTGACACGCTATCTACAATAGTCTCTGTCGCCGATTTCATAATCCAATCCCTCACAATGATGAGCTCGAGGAATCGACGGAAGAGACTCTTCGCCGTTTACTTGGGAGTGTCGTTCTTGGCGAGTACTCAGTCGAGATAGAAGTTTTAGCCAGGACATTACAGAGAGCCTGCCGAATCGAGCTCGCGAGAAGCTGTCGTTGCACACTCGAGTCGTAACTAAACTCCTCTTTGCCGCTCGAGAAGATGAAATCGTTCCTCAAGCGGCTTTCGAGAGTCGATATCTTGGCCTTCACAATCTTTAGGCGGAGGGCATTGATAGCCTGCCTGAGATCAGAAAGCAGCTCGGGTCGATATTCGCAACAGATAGATGCCTTGAAAGAAAACGTACCATTTCCGGCGGCTTCATCGAGCGGCTCCACTTTGACTTCGTCGGCGTCCATCGGCACGAGAAGGCCTTTACTTGCCTCTAGTGCTGTCTTCTTCAGCTCTTTCACCTCCTCGATCACATGAGCAAGCAATGTGGCTTTGTCCATCTAGCAATATGTACATGTCTAAAGTTAACATAGATCTCATTTCAATTACCAATCCATTAGAACCTGACGAAAGATTATAGGGAACATGAATTAGAATGAGGAAAGTCGATTTCTATGTATATATTTTTGGTTAGGGGATTCTTCTTCCTTTGATGCCACATTTTTTCCAAAGGCTACTACGAGTGAACTACCTAATCGGGAAAGTGTTAATGCTTCTTGAACATTGTCACCATTCAACTCCAGACACAAATGAGGGTTGTGACGTCGATTTCTGGCAGGGCCACCCTGCAGAAATTACTGAGTCGAGTTGATCATCAAAGTGAAACCTAGAAAGGGCACTAACGAGTGACAGTAGAGAAGTTGGTCCAGGGAGCAAATCAATAGGAATTGAGGTGGTCTCAAGAAGGACATGATAGAACTTTTGGCAGCCAAGTTTTGTTCTACCATTTGCTTTTCTTCCCTTTTCCCCCTTTCTTTCTTGTTTATTTTACCTTTGTTTTCCCTCGACTCCACTACACTGCACACAACTCTACTTTGTGCTGTCATCGCCCCACCGCGGTCACCACCGACCCCGGTTCGAGCCACCTGACATCACTGCTCGCATCGCCTGCCCCTCTCCATCTCCCTTGCCACCTCTCCCTCCCTCCCTCTCTTTCTCCCCAAAGCCGGCGTTACCAAAGCCACGACCTCGGATTCGAGGTTTTATCCTCGGCCAACCCCGAACCGGGGTCACTTGAGATTGCGCAATCATTTATGCGGTGGTTGCAACCTCTATGGTTACAATGTTATCTTTCACGCACGCATACACAGGAATCTTAGGTGTAGGTTTTTAGGCGAACTCCTGCATTTTTAAAATAATTGGACTACGTCCTTTTACCCCATAACTCCAGAGAATCTCCCTCCTCGTAAAAATCACCAAAATGATCTAGGTGCCCCACTTCTATAAACTAAAAAACTTGTACGTTTATAAATAGTTTCGCATAATTTTTTATATCGATTTTAATGCGTCCGACATTACTCAATAACTTAATATTTACATTCCTTCCCTCAACTTATGCAAAACTATTTATAAAAGGGGTGACAAAAATTAACTTTTCTTCGACAACAGGGAAACCCTTTTTAGAATTTTAGTTTACAAGATATCAAACTAACTTTGTGAAGATAATAGATGCGAGCTAAAACTCGGATACGTGATTCAAACAAATTTGTTGTCTTCTTTGGTTAACTACATTATCAGTCTCTCTCGTGAATGTCTATGTCACGGGCAAGATTTCTGCGCAACATATGTCACTGAAATTGGCATTTGACTTTTCAATATCTACATGTAACTAGGAATCTATGAGAGCTAATCTATGAACTCTTTGGCCATTTAGGCCGCCCCAAACCATGCCGTCCCTGGTAACATTCCAATTACATCTATGTCTGCACAACTTGGCCTCCACGATTGACTATAATATTGATTTATTGACTTTACTCACACGAATCAATGTGGATGCTGTTCACGATGTGACAATTTGTGCACGAAAATGTGAGCCTAGATCAGGAATAGACGCACCTAATTCTAGGAAGTTCTGAGTGCGCCTTTCCCTAGATATGCACAAAATTGGGAGACAACCAATCTTTCCTAAATTTAGAAGAAAAGGAAATTTGAGATTTTGATGAAATAAGGTTTGACTATTTCGAGCTCTACGATGCATCGAAGAGGGTGGGCTTTCGCGGACACGACTTGCAAATTCCTTCTAAGAAAATGTATTATTGGAATGGAAAAGTAGGGTCAACTGTTCAAGACAGAGTAGAAAAACACTTTCGATTTGGTCACTTGGTGTCATCATGCCATGGCATGAACTATTATTTCGTTCGATCAACTTGAGAAAGTCAAACCCAAGCTTAGGTGGGAAACTACGCACATGTCAAGGAAAGCACCAAATGCTTAGCTTTCTTGCTTGGGTTTCCCCCATATTGCGTATGATAAATGACAATCGAACGTGTTGCTACTGAGTCAAATTTCTCCAAATGCTCATTTTATGTATCTAAGCCCTTTTTAGGGTTGTTCCAACCTTTCATTTGAACGCAATGATATCTAATATCATTCCAACCCAAATTTCAAGAAACCTTTCTTTGTTCTATCAAATATAGTCAGAGTTAAGTTAAGGAATGACAAGTATGAAAATAAGAGCTTGATCCATAAATATTCCGCCTAGGGGCATTACTTTACCAACTTAAGCATCGCAAGCCTCTGCCCAGAATCTCAATAGCAATTTTTGTCTAAAAGATTTTCCATGTCATGTAATGGATCAAAACAAAGGAATCATCTCTTAACCGGTGGAGCACAACCACAAAATGATTGCGAGGCAGTGTTGGGATGTAAGAATGCAAGTTGGGGAGACCATCATGGCCTTTGCACACACACAGCATCGACCAGATTAAGATATAGTATGAATTAATTAGAATGTTCAGTCTATTGTCAATCTATGTGACGACACATAGACTTCGTATGATATATAACTATAGTTGTAACCTGGTTGTATTGTACTGTAATTTGTGTGTGTGGTGTATACATATTTCAAATATCTTCAAATTGGGTGAGACAATTTCCTAAAATTCAACTGATGTAAATTGTTATAATTGTTGAACGCTCATCACACACCTTGTAAAAGTGAGGACCCTTTTTCAATAGCCGATACTATTGTAAGCTCTACTAAACGACTATCATATGCAAAATTATCTCCTTCACATGTGCCATTTCGAGACTATATGTCATAAGCCAATACTATTGTAAGTTCTACTAAATGACTATTATACACAAAGTTATCTCCTTCACCTATGCCATTTCAAGATGAAATGTTATAAGGGTTTTGCCAGTAGAACAGTTTTTTTGCCGTTACGAGAATATCAGCATATTGTTAGTCACAAATTCTTGAAAGACGAATTCCACATTTCTCTATGTTATAAGGTTGGAGATCGTCTCTTTTTTACCCTCCTAAATTTAGAAAAGAAATCGAACAAAAGGTCCCACCCTCTCCCAAACTCCACTACACAAGAATCTTTGGATTGTAACACGAACGAAAGCGAAAAAAAAAATGAAATCAATTACCTTTTCATCGCTGGGCACTAAGCCGCGGAGAGTGGCGAGATGCGAATTGATCCTCTCTCTCCTCCGCCTCTCGGCCTCACTGTGATTCCTCAATGCGGCCAACGCCTTCTCCTCCGAAACATTCTTCTTCACCGCTCTGTTCGGAGCCTTGATCACAAGCTCGCTCTTCTCACCATCCAACACCAACGACTGCGGCGTGGCCACTGTCGGCGCCGACGCTTTAGCCCGCAAAAGCGGGTCGAACATTTGATGCGGGTCCGACCCAAATAAACCCCGTTCATAATAGCTAGTGTAAGGAGTCATATAGAAACTTTCCTATTTCCTAAATGAAAACAACGACAATAGAAAGACTCGGAACTTTCTTCAGGAGTCGAACAAGGAAGCGCCAGGCGGGCGGGTGGTGGGGGCAAACCAGAAGGAGAGTGTTTGGAGGGGGAAGTTGTGTCGGTTGCTGATGGTCCCGGTCAGTGATATTGCAATTATGGTCATAACTTCCATCACGAGACAAGACAAGGATCAAGAAATGGGTTCGAGAGAGAGAGAGAGAGGAGAGAGAGAGAGGGGGAGATTTTCAGGGAGAAAAGATCCACATTTTCTTCTTTATGACCTTGAATTCCATCGTTTCAATCGAGAAGGTTCAAAGTCTTGGTTCTTGGGAAGTGGGTATGGCGTTTAGAAAGCTGCGAAGTCGTCTTCTTGATTTCTCTGAAACTCTTGGCTGTTTCTTTGGGATTCCGACGAGGGTTTCGAGCACAAAGTGGGACAAAACGAGTTTGGGAGCTTTTTTTTGCTTTTTGCAAAACTGAGTTTGTGAGATGAGAGGACATAAAGTTCATATATATAAGGAGAGAGCAAGAGTTGAATCTGGCGTTTTAACGAGAGCTTTTGTGTGGAGGGATCGATTGAACCAAAAGAGTCCAAAACAAATTTGAAAAGGTCTTTAATTAGCGGCTTTGGCATTTTCTAGGGTAGGGATCTTCTTATGTTGTTAATTCTTCCCAATATCTTCTTTGCCTTGTAGGAAATGAAATACATGTGATGCAAATAATTTGTAAGTTCACCTTTTAGGTGATATGGTGGAGGTGCAATCACGACACGTGAATTATGAGACAACTTGTGTATTTCGATAGCACTCGTGGGGGGTGCCCATCGTTTTTGACACTAGCATGATGTTTGTGCGTTGCATGGGTTTAAGATTGTATTTGTTTTGTCATTCTAAATGCTGTTGTTGACCTGAATTTTTGCAACACAAATAATACGCGAAAAAATTGAACAAAATAAATATTCACTTAAACCTTGTAACTTAATCCTCCGATGAAAAGAAAACATGAGACATAAAATTGTAATATTCATGGAATCATAATATAAATACATGCAATATTTTGAGTACCTTAAATAAAAGTGAAAGTGAAAGTATAAGGTAAGAAGGTAAATTCCTCTCTCTTGATAGTTCTCCTCTTTTTGTCGGAATTTTCACCTATTGCCCTTCACCTTTTGCCATCAACTTACGTATAAAAGGCGATTGAGGTATTTGTGTAGGATTTTCTTAAAAGTAAAATGATTTCTCCTCTCTTCTCCATTTGTTGCTCTTTATTTACAGAGTTAGAGGCCATATCTTCAAAATCATCTTTCAATTCCATATATTTTTGTGTCCACTTTCGTGGAAATAATTCCTTTTTATTTTTGGCAAACATTTGATGTCTAAGTTTTTTTTTTTGGGCAAAAGTTGATAGAAATGTCATCATCCATTACGATGTAACGACAATGGATCGCAAAAACAATTATTTAGTATCTTGCGAAAAAATGCAATATTTAATTTATACTTTTCATATAAATCCGCAATATATACTAGGTAAAGCTCACATGAGTTTCAGTCACGTGACACCTCACGTGTAAGCATTTATCCAGCATGGCCGGTGGGATAAGCTATATCCAAATATGGCATTTGGCATGGTTAATTAGTGCACAATCTATAGAGTTCGAAGCGATTACTCCTCATATGCATTATCAATCCAATACCGGAATGTGTAGATAGGGTTTTTCACCATATGCATGTATATTAATTAGATATTGGGAATGTGCAGCAAAGACTCTATACCTTCACTAGGGGATGTCAACAAGGGAGAACCCAAGTTTGAGTTGAGCCCATCAATATATCCAATTGAACTAGTTTTACTCAGATGGTTGAATTAATGAGTTATGGGCCAACTAGAATTATTACTTGTTTAACCTCACATCAATTATCTGATATGGGACTGTTTTAACACAACTTACACGTGCATCTTAATAATTTCTTCCTCACTTGTTAGCTCAATATTAGGTTTGCTCCCTCTAAATTCAACTATTGGTCTACATCAAGATGTTTCAACTTGAATCTCCACATTGTTGCATGTAAGGACCACAATAACAACAATGCCCACCTTTATCCCTAGTCTATGGCCTAATAATGGGTATTGTAATTGGGACCGCATTGATCATGAGATTCCTTCCTCGAGATAATTACCAAACATTAGAACAGATTGGAGGGTTGACCAATCAACCATTGGCTTTGATATTACTTGTTAGAAGCACAGAGGAAAGACCTAATACCTTCTTTTGGAGAGATCGTCAAAAGAGAGCTTAAATCCGAATACGTCAAAATCTCTAGTTGAACCCACCTTCGATAAAAAAAAAACTTAAGTAAATGAATTATAAGTTAACTAAGATTATAAATTGCTCCTCACCACACCAATTTTTTTGATATGTTATTTTTCTAATACTACTCCCACTTGCATATCAAGAATTGTTGTTCTTTTTGCAAATGAGGCAATTATTTTGGTCAACTATGATGCTTATTTTTCAAATATTTGTGGTATAAATACATTTGCTTCATGTTTGACATTTTGAGTTGTGGCAACCAAGTAGAAGTAATTGCAAAATAGTGCTTTGTTTAAAGTCGGTACAACCAGGGTTTAGCCTATCCTTTTACCGGTCTCTAACCCATTACTATCCCATTGTTACAAGGGGTAATATCATAAAAAATCATAAAACTAGTACATTTGTAACAAACTTACCCTCTATTAGTTTATATTAAATTTTACTGTTAAATTGCCGAGTTGAATAACACGTGATAGTTGACAAGAGTATCGATTTGAGGTTTTACCCTCTGTTTATCATAGATGTATTAGTTTATAATTTTTCGTTGTATTAATCTAATTTAATGAAAACTAACGGATGATAATTTGTCATAAACGTACTAATTGAGATTTTTTATGGTTAAAAAATTAATTTAAGATATATTTATTATATATGTATCAATTTGAAGTTTTTTATGATTAAAAAACTAATTTAAAATAAATTTATTATAAACGTAACGCTTTTAAATTTTTCATGATATTAACTCTCGTTACAAATTACGGAAAAAATGTCTATGAATTGTTATAACAGTTACTGTTGCGATCACTGTTCACCACCGCCCGCCACCATCTCTACCGTCCCACTATCATTTCAAACGTAACAACAGTCTGACACCGCCGGTCTATCTCCTCCACCTACTACCACTTAGCACCTCCGCCGCCATCATTGCCACCTCGATTTCCACCACAGCCATATCCTCAACATAAAATATTAAAGTAAAAAAAATTATGGAATCACTACCTGTTGCGTGGAGAAATTAAGCTGGTAGAGTATGATGTTCACCATATTTGATGGCTTAACATTACCGGTGTGTGTGCCACACAAAAATCTCTTAATTACTTGTTGAATGACATCTCTATTAAAATAAGTAACAGATTTATTCATAGATTTAGATCACTCAACCAAGCGACATTTTTTTGTTGGTTGTGGAATACAAGATGCTTCGGACTCCAAAGGTTTTTTCCAGCAAAGACAAGGCCAAGGAAAGCCCTTTTTCACCCGGAAAAATCTTTTTAATTGAAACCTCTTCATCGAAGCGGAAGTCTTTTCTTCTTGATAATCTTGGAGCACCGGCATGGAGATCCGATTTTCTGAAGGTCCATCCCATGTACCGGTTAAGTACAGGCACATGCTACTCTAGTACAGTGTAGCTTATAAGCAATTGTTGGAATTTGAATGGAAGACCTCTAGTTTATGAACTAGAAATCCTGGCCGCCTTGGCTTGATTTTGCTATCAACAAAGTTTTCTTTGAGTTGATCAACTACATGACAAGAAATAGTAGAGGACAACGCTATGTTCCCATCACTTCCCATCACTTCTCTTTTACGAGTGCCAATCGATTTCATTGATCAATTTAGGAGAGTATTGACCAAGATTCCAACTATGTATTAAACAAACTGCCCGAAATACTTTTTAATAATGTGGTATTCATCAAAATCTTTAAGTATCTAATTAATCCTCACTAGATATAGTAGTCCTCACAAACAGTCAATTTAAATCTTGATCACGATCAATACTACATCAAAATTAACACGAATCGTAAAATTTGTTACGTGATAATTTTATTCAATGTTTAATATACTTGAAAGTAGATAAAAGTATACTATAAGTGTCATAACTTTCATACGACGCTTATTTGAGTGCTATAACTTTTTTTTCGATCACTTGAGTTTCATAAATTTTCTATCGTGCTCACTTGAGTGCCATAATTTTGTTTTTCCAATCAATTGAATGTTATATAACTTTTCAATTAATTACTTGAGTGCCATAATTTTTTAAAAACGTTCACTATAAGTGTCATGCCGTGTTGGATATCCAACAATTGAATGAACTCTTTTTAAAAGTTATGGTACTCAAATGATTGATTGAAAGTTATGACACTTAAGTGAATGTTTTTTAGAAATCATTGCATTCAGGTAATCGAAAAAAAACTTATGGCATTCAAATGAGTCATGTAAAAAAGTTATGATACTTATGGTGTTTTTATCTTCTGAAAGTATATTATTTAAAGACCATATATCTGCTTTATAACCAAACAAAAAACAGAAAAGTTTAGTTGGACAAACGGACGCCCAATAAAGAATAGATAAGAATTACTTTGAGGTGCCGATAGAAAGTCTTGCACTGTCATCTTCTTTATTTTTGAAGTGGTCGTATCTTTCTGCATAAAGCAACGTTGGGATGTGGACAATTGAGGGTTCTTTTAAATGGGATTATCAATATCCATATTCAACTATTAATGGAAAATGAGGATAATAAACTTCATTTAAAAAATGCATGTTTTGTCAAACGCTAGTCCAATTACCACTCCTCCACTTGTCAAATTCCAGCCATGGATATACGTATGTAGGCGTAGATGTATGTGCCCCTGAATGTATACCATGAATATACGGTTGAAGACTCAAATATTATATACTATTAAGTGATGACCTAATTAGGTAATGAATTTTCATTTAGGTGCGTTAGGTGTCAGATCTCTTTGAACTCATATCGCCATGTATGAGTTGTTGTATTGGTAGATAAGTCTTGCGAAATCTCAACTAGACGGCGGGCTTTGAAGTCATGCCGGCACGAGTGAGCTGCGATCAAGCTAGAGTTTCACATGTTGGCATGATGGGCTCACGTGAGTCGCTTCCGTTCTCCTGTGAGTTGCTTACGTTGGTTTAGATATGTCAGTCTGCGAAAGGGATGTTGGTTATTGATAGTCAAATAAATTTCTAGTACCACATTGCTCATGTACATGTGACATGCTATTCCAATAGATGACTCTTGCGCAAATTGGAACTAGCACAATGCATTGTAAAGCTGTGTGCAAGCAGACGAGCTGCGGCTAGAGGGGACGATATCATGTTGGTAGCAATGCATTCTTGCAAATACTGCCAATAAATCTAATTACACATTGTCCTCTCTTATCTTCACTTTACTTATCAAGAGA